ACATCCACTCATATGTATTATCTGTGGCTGCTTTTCTCACTATAATGGAGTTAAGTAGTTACAGCAATGACTGTATGGCCTACAAAACCTAAAATATTTACTATCTGACCATTTACAGAGGAAGTTTACAAACCCCTGGTCTTCAATATAGTTGGATGAGACCAGAGGATCTGGGCTAAGAAGGAGGAAATATGACTGCCCAGTGGGAATGAATTTTGTTCTTTCTCTTTCTCTCTCTCTCTTTTTCTTTCAAGTAGGCTCCACACCCAACATTGGGCTCAAAAACTCACAACCCTGAGATTAGGAGTCACATGCTCTACCAACTGAACCAGCCAGGAGCCCTGGATTTTTTTTTTCCTTAGTAAAAATAGAATGCAAGCTGGCAGAATAAGGAAAAAATATCAGGGTATTATGAAACTTAGGTAAACCACTGTATTTTCACCTGAATCATTATTATATGATCTTTCCAAATCTGGGCTCTCCCCATTTTATAAATTTCTCTTAGAATTCTATTCCTAATCTGCTACTCTGATTATACATTGTCAGAATCCTCTAATGTTTTCCCTCACCCGCAGACTCTTAGGACCATTTAACCAGGGTCCTGCATGATCTGGCAGCATCTTAATTTTCCAGCGCTCACCTTTCTTTTCTTTTTTTTAAGATTTATTTATTTATTAGAAAGAGAACGCGAGTGTGCGCATAAGCGGTGGTGGGGGGAGGCGTTGGGGGGCACGTAGCACAGAGGGAGAAGATAAGCCAACTCCCTGCCGAGCTAGGAGCCCAACTCGGATCTCCTTCTCATGACCTGAGCTGAAACCAGGAGTCGTATGCTCAACCAGCTGAGCCACCCAGGGACCCCAACACTCACCTTTGACTAGACCTTTGACTAAACCACCCAGCTGGAATTCCAGGATTCTGTGCTTTCTTTCTTTTTTTTTAAAGTAGGCTCCACACCCATTGTGGAGCCTAACATGAGGTTTGAACTCAGAACCCTGAGATCAAGACCTGAGCTGAGCCCAAAAGTCTGACACTTAACCAACTGAGCTACCCAGGCTCCCCCAGGATTCTGTGCTTTCATTCATACTTTCTCTTCTACGTGGAATGCTTTTCTCTTCTCCAAATCCTAGACACTTTATTATTGTTATGGTGAAATGTTTCAAGCGTACAGAGAAATAATATAGGAATATCTGTGCACTCACCAACCACTGAGCTTTGTCAAATCCTACCATTTTCCATGTTCTGTACTGTTAAAAAATTATCACAGACTTAGATATCTTTAAAACCTCCTCAAATACCAAGTCTTTTAAATAGGCCTCCTAGATGCACCAATCAAAATTAAACTCTTTTTCCTATGATTTCCTGTAACACTTTCTTTGTGTCTCTATCATCTGACCTGTTCTGCCCTTGCAAAATATTTTCTTTGAGTATTCCTTACTATTATCATTCTCATAGTGGGGTACAAAGATTATTTTAGGTAATCTAAGAAAAGGACATGTAAAAATATAAAAATTGTGTTTATTTAAAAATGTACATTAGAAACATATGTACACACAAGTACTTGAAAATATATATCTAGAACATCAACTCCATGATTTCCCAGATATCCTTTAAGACATGGCTAAAGTAGGTCAATAGAGTAGAAAATTATTGAGTAAATAATAATGTTAGAAAAATATTAAGTAAAAATACAGATGGTATGGCAAAAAAATTTGAAGATTGTACTCAAATAATTTAGCTTTGAAAACTTAGCTTATTAGAAGAGGGACCCAGTTTTATTTATTTTTTGTATGCCCTAAGTACCCAGCTAACTCAGAAAAGATGCTTATTAAATTGAATTGATTTCTCTCTGGAATGAGATCCTTGAAAATCATATGGAACCTCCTAAACCTTTGACAGACCACGTAAGATATTTTGCCCATGTCGAATGTCCCTGGCACATCTGCCAGAGAGACAGATGGTGCTTTTTCCCCCTTTCCCTTTCCTGTCCATTATGACACATTGCTCCAGTCAGGGCTTGATGAAGTATGAAATAATGCTAGTGATAGTCCTGTTCTGAAGGAATGAGGACTCGAGCTTACCAGAATGCTCTCATCAGCATCACTTCAACAGACCAATCTCAACAAATTTCAGTTTGTGGACCACTTTAGTTCTTGGATCTGGTCCACTACACACACATACACACACACACACACACTCTTACGTTCAGCATACTTTATGTTTTAGAGAAATATTTCTTGGTCTCCTTAAAATTCACTATTTTGTGGCATCTTTTCATTATTGTTAGCACTGAACCATCCGAAGTCACACTGGCAACTGAATTTAGTCTTGAGACTTGGCAATGAGGAATCATTTTGTATAACCCAATGCACGATGTTAGCCAAATTATGTCATACAGTTACAAAACTCCTGTCCTGTCTTCCAGCTTTTCTGAGTAAATGTGGCTTTTTGAGAAGTTTCGCTCCTCCTGCCCTAAAATGACCTTACATGCTCTCAGATATCAGAGGATCCTAATTGTGATGAAATCTTTCACTTTGTTTCCTTTGTTATAGCCTGCTTTTTGAGGTGGTATTTGGAAGAGTGGGGAGTAGTGGGAACCCCTCAGGCCACTGAGTCACAAAAGGAGATCAGAACATGTCTGAAGTTTGGCTTAACCCCCAAAGCTTCACTCATATTGGACTAGATGAGCCTCTGGGAGAAGCCAATGAAACTGCTATATATGGCTTTCATGTCTTTGTTTCCTAATTCCTACTGCTAAGGCATGGGTCTTTGCTGATCTTTTTTTTTTTTTTAAAGATTTTATTTATTTATTTGAGACAGAGAGAATGAGAGACAGAGAGCATGAGAGGGAGGAGGGTCAGAGGGAGAAGCAGACTCCCCGCCGAGCAGGGAGCCCGATGCGGGACTCGATCCCAGGACTCCAGGATCATGACCTGAGCCAAAGGCAGTCGCTTAACCAACTGAGCCACCCAGGTGCCCGGGTCTTTGCTGATCTTAAAACTCCATGCCAGGGGGCACCGGGGTGGCTCAGTCATTAAGCGTATGCCTTCGGCCCAGGTCATGATCCCAGCGTCCTGGGATCGAGCCCCACATAGGGCTCCCTGCTCAGCAGGAAGCCTGCTTCTCCCTCTCCCACTCCCCCTGCTTGTTTCCCTCTCTCGATGTGTCTCTGTCAAATAAACAAAATCTTTAAAAAAAAAAAAAAGAAGAATGAAAAGTGATAGCAGGATACTGAACTCAAGAGCCTATGTTGTACATTCTACCATATTCATTTTGCAAGAGGAGATGGAGTTTCAGCAAAACGGCATGCATTACATTAACGATACTAATTCACATTTAATTTTATAAACTTTTCCATCATAAATCTTTGTTGATTTAATAAGAGCATAAGGAGTTTTCTTACACCTATATTTATGTTAGTACATATTAAAGAAGCATGACAACAAGAGATAATTTAATTTTGAAGGTCCACAGGAATTTTAAAAGTTTAAGAGTCAATTCTGCTTAGAGGAAAGTTTTGCTTTTCTTTCTTTGTCTTCCTAACCCAACTACACCCTCTGGTGGTTGTAGTTGCTCATAGAAGTAAAATACTCGCTTTATAAATGTGTCCTTTTCACATTGGTTTGTAGGTCAGCCGTGCAGCAGACGGAATAATTTCCCTGTAGAAACAATGTTATAAACAATGGCAGTTATTGCAGGATAGCCCACAAAGACCCACCGTCGCTCTGTGTCACTTGATCTACAAGCTCGTCCCTCCTCCACCGCTTTCCTTGCTGACCAAACAGATCACCATATCCACAGTCACTGCCAACACTGCTACAACTCTGTCCCCATCACTTTCAGGAGTAGAAAGAGGACAGAAGTGAGTTAGTGTTTGGTCAATTCCAATATCTTTACTTATAGGCATAACTTCTGCCCTGAAACCCACACCTCTCCTGGGGCCTCCAGAGGAGAGGGCCACCTAGAAGGACACTTAGAGGTCCTCTTTGCCTCTTTTGAGAATCTTGGGGCACATAATCTTGCTTCCTTTTCTTTTGCCTTTTTGCCTTTGGCTTCTTTTATCCAGAGCCCCTCTTACTTCTTCAGGGTCAGAGTCACCTTCCAAGTAGACAGCAAGAGGAAAGGAAAAGCAGACTGGAACAAAATGGAAAGAAAAGAAAATCCTTTGACTCAAGGTTTCCCCAAACCCAGAAGCCAGTCTGATAGCTAACCAATAAACCTTCAAACACCTTGTCCCTCCATGCTTGAAAACCTTCCCTCACCAGGCCCTTCTAAGCGCCGGCTCGACGAGGAAGGGCCGAGGTGAGACACGATCTCAGCCCACCTGGTGCACATCATACCATCAGCACTCACGTGCGATTCCGTGGGCCCCTCCCCGGTAAGGGACAGTGCCGGTGTGGACCCTGCTGTGTCTGGACAGATAGAAATCCTGTTTTAAAGGGACTAGAAGAACTCTTTGGTATATTACTGAATCCATTTATAGTGACAAAAGGGAAAATTTATATGATTTTAACAACGTAGGAAAAAAGAGCAAGAACATACAGACAAGTGAAATGCTTCAGCTAGAGTACCTGACTGGCGAATGACTGAATTTGGAATTACCCTAACATTGACGTTTAAAATAAATGGAAATGGGGGTGCTGGGTGGCTCAGTTGGTTAAGCGACTGCCTTCGGCTCAGGTCATGATCCCGGAGTCCTGGGATCGAGTCCCACATCGGGCTCCCAGCTCGGCGGGGAGCCTGCTTCTCCCTCTGACCCTATCCCCTCTCGTGCTGTTTCTCTCTCTCTCTCAAATAAATAAATAAATAAAATCTTTAAAAAAAATAAAATAAAATAAATGGAAATGTTCTTGATTGTTTTGTTTATCTATTGCTATTTAATAAACCACTCCAGGGAGAGTGGGAGAGGCCTCGGAGCTGGCCAGGAAACAAACTGCTGCCAAGGGTTTTTGATACACACCAGCAGCATCCCACTGTGATACGAATTTTTTTTTTCCTTGTAGGTAAGGAAAGGAAGAGAAAACAGGAAACATTGGAAAGATAAATGGGGTCTTTCCCATGAAGGTGAGCTTCATTATTTTTCTGTTGAACTTAGTGATTAGATTAGATTAGATTAATTAGTTAGATTAATTTAGTGATAACAACTGAAGATTGGTGAGAATGGGTAGGGTTCCTATTACTACCTAAATATTTGTATTTAAATTTTTCTCTGCACCATGTATCCTATTTGAAAATAATGTTTCTATAGAGGACAACAACAACAATAAAATACTTTGGGTGTGAAAAAATAAATTTAAAAAAAAAAACCAATCTAAAACTTAGAGGCTTAAAACAACCCTTTATTTAAAAACAAAACAAAACAAAAAAAGTTGAGTTCATAGAATAGAAAGTGATGGCCTGGGGCTAGGGCGCAGGGGAAATAGGGAGAGGTTGCTACCTCTCTCAACTTTCAAGGGTACAGACTTTTAGTTGTAAGATGAAGGTTTGAGAATCTCATGTATAACCTGGTGATTCTGGTTGATAATACCATGTTATATAATTGAAACTTGCTAGGAAAGTAGAACTTAAATGTTCTCACCAAGAAAACCCAACAGGAGAATACGTAGGTAATGGATGGATGGGGGGAAATCCTTTCACAATGTTTAGGCAGATGAAATCATCACATGGTACACTTGTAAATAGCTTACAGTTTTGTCAGTTGCATTTGGAGAATGAAAAGAAAGGAGAAAACCCAGAGGTTTGTCAAGTTTCTCTTTTGAACAGTGGGATGAATGAAGTACCATTCACGGAGAAGATTGGGGGAAGAACAGATTTTTATTTTGGGGACACGCAAGGAAGAAAATATAAAATTCCATTTGAACATGTTTAAATATGTTATGCCCACTCAATAATTTGTAATTAAACTAGATAGTATAAGGTTTACTCAAACTATGCAAGAATAAGCCAGGTTATAACAAAATGCCACACCATCTGGGAAATTAGAATAGACGATTAGTATTTAAAGTATGAGTTCGGGCGCCTGGGTGGCTCAGTTGGTTAAGCAACTGCCTTCGGCTCAGGTCATGATCCTGGAGTCCCGGGATCGAGTCCCGCATCGGGCTCCCTGCTCGGCGAGGAGCCTGCTTCTCCCTCTGACCCTGCCCCCTCTCATATACTCTCTCTCATTCTCACTCTCTCAAATGAATAAATAAATTTAAAAAAAAAAAATAAATAAATTATGAGTTCATCAAGCAAGTTAATGTGTCTGTTAGGATAATAGCTATAGTTTATTGAGGGGTTTTTATTTGTTTGAACCATATGAAATTGTGGATATTGACAATGCCATACAGTTTGTCCCAGTATGTAGTAGCCATAGAATTATATTTTATATATAAATGAATGACTATTCACAAAAACCCTTAAGGTAGACTTTTTCTTATAAGTGGAAGTTGTGGAAGAGGTTAAATAACCTGCTAAAAGTCTGATGAGGAATTAGGCAGGAAGGAATCAAAACAAGGTCTTTCTGTCATCGAATCTGGACTCTAAGCCACAAAGTTACACTACTGAGATTTCTAGCCAAGAAACCGAGAAAATGAGAAAAGCTTCAGACCCCAAATACACAGATAGGCAGATACAGGAGTGCTTGGTCTGACTGGATGGAGAATTTCTGACTGTCTCCCTCCTACAGACACCCAAGTTCAATCAGACCTTACAAGCCAGAATTGCATTTTAGAAGTAAACACAATGAACAAAAAGAAATCAGATAGTTAGCACTATTAAAAGTTGCTCAAAAATTTCCATCAAGAGGGCCTGGGTGGCTTAGTCAGCTGAGCGTCCACCTCTTGATTTCAGCTCAGGTCATTATCTCAGGGTTGTGATTTTGGCTCCAGTGATTCTTTCAGGGTTGTGAGATAGAGCCCCGAGTTGGGCTCTGCGCTCAGCAGGGAGTCTGCTTGAGATTCTGTCTCCTTCTGCCCCTCCCCCTTTTCGTGCTGTTTAAGTCAAAGGCTAAAAAAAGTTTACATGATTAAAACGCTTTCTGTCTACCCTTGGAAGAATATTTCCCACACAGCTCTGGCATTGATAATATCAGTTAGGTCCAATAGTCCTACACGGCGGTAAGCAATAGAAATGGTCACTTGGCAATTAAGTCACACTCCTGCTAACAGAAAATTGAATTTTTAAATTTAATAACCAAATGAATCTGTTCTTCAATGCTATATTGATCAGGGGCTCTCTGAGTATAGTAGCTGGTCTCCCAATTGGTCCAAAAAAAATAAAGCCAGTACATTTATTTATTTATTTATTTAATTTTAAAGGCCAGTACTTAATTAATCTATAAGTTCTTAGCCAGCTTTGATATTATTTTAATAGTAATAATAATGGTAATAATAATAATAAATACCATGTACTGGATCCTTACTACATGCCACATACCATGATATGTGTATTAACACCATATTTGCATAAAAACTCCTAACAACCTCATGGGATAGGTTGTACTATCTTAGTTTTGACTGAAGCATAGAGATACTAAGTAATTTCCCAATGTCCAAAACTAGTGCAGAACTGAGATTTAAACTCAGCCATTTAGGGGCACTCAGTTGGTTAGGTGGCTGCCTTTGGCTCAGGTCATGATCTCAGGGTCATGGGATCGAGTCCTGGTTCGGGCTCCCTGCTCAGTGGGGAGTTTCTTTCTCCCTCTCCCTCTGCCCCTCCCCCTACTTGTGCGCCTGCTCTCTCTCTCTAATAAATAAAATCTTCAAAAAAAATAAACTCAACCATTTAAACTCAATTTAAACTCATTTAAACTCAAAACCCATGCTCTTACCCCCTATTTTGGATATGTGTGTACACATACATGCACATATATGTGTATATATAAAATGGTAGAGCTGATTACCGTGAGTTTACTTTTAGTGTGGGTGGTAAATGGCAATGCATATATATTATAAAAGTGGTCAAAGAGTCCAGAATCTTCAGCCCAGCCTGAAAACTAGCTATGTGTGCTTGCTTTTTTGATGATCCTTTGTATTTGTAAAAAGTTATATATGTGATTTTCATATTCAAAATTTTTCTACAATTAGATTTCCTAAAAGTAATTACTTTGTAGTGGAAGTCAATATTTAGTCAGTCAAATGTGTTCTGATCACTAAGAAAGATGGATTATTTAGTGATTTTCTTGGCTTTGGCAACAATGCAAAAAACAGTAGGAAAGAACTGTAGCAGGCTAACCCTTTAAAGTGTTGATTTGGGGGCTCCCTTACCACACTGTGCAAACAAATAGACAAATGCTGTAAGAAAATCAAGATGACAAATATTCAACCATTAGCTTTCAGGAATGCCACTCATGTAGCCCTACATGGAAAGATGCAGATGCCTTCTGACAGAGCTTTTGCTCCCACAGCTTTGATAAAGTATGCTCTCAGAGAAAAGAGAACAGTGGGAGAGGAGAGGCATCAAGCACCTCAGGCACGTGGGAGGGAAGCCCAAGCCCTGTCTGTAGCCAGTGCTGCTTCCGGCCCAGAGCCAGGGCACTGTTTAGAAGCTGAGGTAGAGCTGAGTTGATCCTCTTCTGTCATTCGGTGGGTTCCACCATTCACCAGTGGTCAGCCCACTGTCCTTCATTAGTACAGTTTGAAGTCTTGTTGCCTTTGTCCCAAGGATCTTTTCATATGCTTCTGATTGACCATCTCCTGGGAGCAGTCCCTCATATAACAGCCCAGAACTCTCATAAACACCATTCTACTCCCCCCATCACTGCCCCCAGAGTGGAAACTAGAGGACTTGTAGTCCTTGATGGGTGATAGTGGAGGGGGCTTGGATGCTTTGTGGGGTGATGTTGGTGACAGCTGAAAGGGAAATGTTTGGTCCAAAGAAAGGATTATTTGGAATCCATGTGAAATCATCCACTGAGCAGAGGAATGCACTCCCCCATCACAGAGCATTAAGAAGTGGGAATGTTAGAGCTGGACAAGAGCTTGCAGAACATCTCGTCCCACCCCTCCACATAGCAGAATAGACTATTTGTTGGAGGTCAAATAGCTGGTTAATGGCTCAGCCGCAAGCAGTAATCAAATGTCACGAGTGAGTTTAATCCTCTCTCCAGTGCACAGCATGGGCACATCTGTTTAGGGAGCTCTTTCTTTGGGGTTTTCTCTGATCCTCTTTCAAGGCATGGTAAGTCAAATAGAGGACCCACTTTCTAAGTTTTTAGAAGCCCAAATTCAATATCTCACAGTGACACCAAAGTGAAGTTTTTGTTGGATTAGTTTATTGCCATAAGATATAGTGAAGACATTTTTTTCAATGGTTGGGAGAGTCATAACTGCTTATAGACGATTTCTCCTCCACAGAGACTCTATGAGACTGCTTATACTAGCCCACAGGTGCCTGAAACTGAGCACCAGAATGCATTTAATTGTGTTGAAGAAAGTCCAAGCTTCCTTCCCCACAATAAGTGAGGACCTGACCTTCCTTATAGCTATGCCTGTGTTCTTCTGTTCATTCTGTCGTGAATACTTATTTCACTAGAATTTTTACAGGTGGAGAAGGAGGGTGTCTACCTACTACTCGGCATTTCTCTAATGATCACTTTGTAAACCACAGTTTATCTTTGGACATTTCAGTGGCTTCATACCACTCACCATCATTACACTAACAAAACTCATCAGGTTGCACTTTCTACATTTGCTCTCCATGGGCTTCTGTAACCTTTGTAGTTTTTTTATTTTTAGAAACTTTTTTAGAGAAACGCTTGTTTTTAGCACCACTTTACATATGTCAGTGTATTTAAACCGTTTCTTTTTTGTGGCAGATAAAAAACTCTAAGGACCTCTCTTACAGGTATTGTTGGAACATTCAAATAAAATCTGTTTATGAGACACAGGGATAGCCAGATATTAAGCAAATCAAACAAGTTTTCTCATAAATATTAGGTTGACTCCTGGTTAACATTTTAGACTCTTGTTAATATTTCACACATTGTTTCTGTTCAACTAACTTGAGAACTTCATGAAAAAGTTGAATGGTAGGTTGGGTAAGAGGGTACCGCAATGGAAGCCTTTTTTCCAAGGCTGGCATGTGAATAAAGTACCTGCAAATCATAAAAAGAAACAAAATAGCTTTAAAAATAAGAATTTCACATTGGTCACATCAGTACATATACACTCACTGGCGTAGGGCTGTTGGATATGGGGGTCTAAGCCATAAGATTCGGCCAGCATTTTCATTCGCCTGATCTCCCCTATTGGGTGACCTAGAAGATCTCTGATATGTGTGCCTTTCAGATCATTGAGACACTTTACTACAGGAAAGGAAGTGAATTTCATTAATAATGTATCCATTATGAAGGCATTAGTAGGGAAGTCAGGACTGTCCTCACCGCAGTGTGGGCTGAGGCTCCTGCTTCTTGTTTCCTTGGGCAATATGCAGGAAATTGAAATAAAAGGGTCGGGGCGCCTGGGTGGCTCAGTCGTTAAGCATCTGCCTTCGGCTCAGGTCATGATCCCAGGGTCCTGGGATCGAGCCCCACATAGGGCTCCCTGCTCAGCAGGAAGCCTGCTTCTCCCTCTCCCACTTCCCCTGCTTGTGTTCCCTCTCTTGCTGTGTCTCTCTCTGTCAAATAAATAAATAAAATCTTAAAAGAAAAAAAATTGGATTGTGTGATACATGCCACAACATGGATGCACCTTGAAGACGTGATGCTAAGTGAAAGAAGCCAGACACAGTAGGCCATATATCGTATGATTCCATTTATGTGAAATGTCCAGAACAGACAAATCCACAAAGAGAGAAAGTGGATTAGTGGTTGCCAAGGGCTGGGGGGGGAGGGGAGCATGGCATGTGACTGCTTAATGGCTACCAGCTTTCTTTAGGGGTGATGAAAATGTTCTGCTATTAGACAGTGGTGATGGTTGCACAACACTGTGAAATGTATTAAAAGCACACTTTAAAATAGTGAATTTCAATGTATATGCATTTTACCTTAAAAAAAAAAAAACACGAGGAAAAAAAATTAGATTGTGTGGACCAATTCCCAGCAGGCCAAACAAAACCCTTTTGTAGGAGCCAGAGTGGAACCTATGATGTAAAACCACATGGAGGGAAAACAGGGTCCACAAATTGGGCTGAAATGTTTTAAAAAGCCCATCTAGGGCCATAATGTATGCCTGCACATCCTTTTATGTCTGCACCCAAACTGGGAGCAAAGCTGTGCCTGCTGTACCCTTTTCATCTTAAGTCAGACACAGGCTGGGTTTTTTCCTTGATAGGTGCTAATGCAGAGCTGAGCAGCTGCCAGCCTATAAATAGGAGGAACCCCTGAGGTTCAGAACAAGCTGGCTGATGAACCCGTGCTTGTTACTGCTCTTCCTCACTGTTTTGTTCCTGAGGAAGAGAGGGGTAAAGGAAACAAACAAAAAGTAATAACCACACTCGTTGTTTCTCCTTTATCAATTGTTTTTTCCCCCCCGCAATGCTTCAGTTAAATTCACAGTCCCTAATTCATCATCCCCTTCAGTAGGGCTTGTTACTCTTGATTCCTCACAGCATGTTAAAATCATTACCACTTCTGTGAGGTGCTGCCTGCAACAAAGACAATGAGTGAGAAACAGTTCTTCAAAGAGAGTTTGAGGTTTCATTAGTCTTTTCTAGCCTGGGAATACACAGTGGTTCTTAGAGCTCCCCCAAACCCTACCTTACCACAGATCAAAGTGTGAGATACTATTAAAAACAAAACCAGGGGCGCCTGGGTGGCTCAGTCGTTAAGCGTCTGCCTTCGGCTCAGGTCATGATCCCAGGGTCCTGGGATCGAGCCCCACATCGGGCTCCCTGCTCGGCGGGAAGCCTGCTTCTCCCTCTCCCGCTCCCCCTGCTTGTGTTCCCTCTCTCACTGTGTCCCTCAAATAAATAAATAAAATCATTAAAACTAAAAAATAAAGGGGCGCCTGGGTGGCTCAGTCGGTTAAGCGTCTGCCTTCGGCTCAGGTCATGATCCCAGGGTCCTGGGATCGAGCCCCACATCGGGCTCCCTGCTCCGCGGGAAGCCTGCTTCTCCCTCTCCCACTGCCCCTGCTTGTGTTCCCTCTCTTGCTGTGTCTCTCTCTGTCAAATAAATAAATAAAATCTTAAAAAAAATAAAATAAAATAAAAACAAAACCAGAATTGCCCATCTTCATTTCATCTTCTACATATTGGGCCATGTTGCAGTTCTGCCTGAAAATCAGAAATGAGGGGATTTTACTGCAGATTAGATTCAGACTTTTCTTACCTGAATTCTTCTCTGTAGTCGTTCCTAATATACTCAGCTAAAGTCTTGCTGTACCGCAGGCAGCTCTTGAGGATGTAAAATTGCTGATACAACAGAACTGCTTGGCTGGGACTTAGCAACTGAAATGAAGCTGAAAGCCCCTTTACCATTTGTTTCACAATACGGGCCACGAAAGTGATCTAAACAGGGAAAAAGCAGTTGCATGTAGGCCGCATGCCACGCATACGGCACCTGTTTCAGCTGGGGCCTCACCTCTGAAGCTAGGCTGACGTCCTCACCACCCCTACACCAATACTCTTGCACTGTTTCTCACTGAAATGGTTCTCAGAGAGCACCAGACCATAGACCGACTGGGTTTACCATTCGCCCCCCTCTAAGCAGAATCAGAATGAATACTGTCAAGGAAATTCGGTTCCAAAGTAAAAGGAGAACACTGGCTAGAACGGGAGCTTGGAAAGGTCCATGGCCTCCTCCAGGACGGAAGATGGTTTCTCTTCTTTTCTACTGTGAAGGACAAATGGCCCCCAGATATAAACTTCCTGGGACTTTCAAAGAGGGTTCCTCCAAGGCGCTGGTTCTCAAAATTTAGTGTGCACAAAAATCACCTAGGCAGCTCAATACACATGTGTTATCCTGACCCCCCCCCCTCGAGATATTTACCATGACAATTCTGATGGTTTTGTTCCTCAGACAACACCTTAAGAAACACTAAGTGAGAAAGCAAAGAAAACCAGGCTTGACACAAGCAAGTGATGTTGATGTCCCCCTGTTAGCTGGGGTTTTCATCAAGGGTATGTCTTAAAATGGAAATAGTAGCAATAATGTGAAGTTATTGAGTTGCTGCTTCTCACACACACAAAAAAGTCATTTACAACAGAACCAAGGGGCATCAGGCTGGTTCCGTTGGTAGAGCATGCGACTCTTGATCTTGAGGTTGTGAGTTCAAGCCCCTACACTTAGTGTAAAAAAACAGAACCAAATAACAAAAACCAAGAACAATGGATTCCACAAGTTTTTGTTTGTTTGTTTGTTTGTTTGTTTTTGAGGGGGGCACATTTTCAAACAACTATGCGTAAGTGTAGGCTACTATAAAAACAGAAAGGAACTCTAGTGTCCTTTCAAGCTCTAACCAGGTCCCTTTGCATGCCCATTAAATTAGTATCAATAGGGGCATCTGGGTGGCTCAGTCGGTTAAGTGTCTGCCTTTGGCTCAGGTCATAATCCCAGGGTCCTGGGATCAAGCCCCACATCGGGCTCCTTGCTCAGCAGGAAGCCTGCTTCTCCCTCTCCCTCTGCCTGCTGCTCTGTCTACCTGTGCTCTCTCTCTATCTCTCTGTCAAATAAATAAATAATCTTTAAAAAAATTAGTATCAATAAATGTGTTGCCTTTTCTATTGATGTTGGTACTGGCCCTTCTTAAGTAGGATGGGTGGTTTGGAATGGGTTCACCCCAATTCAGATCTGTTTACACATATTGACTAAATACGGTGTCAGGCAAACACAGATTGAGGTTGGAGAGTCTGGAGCAGTAGAACAAAGCAATGACCATTTGGGGATTAAATTTTTAACTTCTTTTGCATCTTGCTCTAACCAAGCAAGAGAATCAGAGCTGACTGACATGCAGGTAGATTCAATGATCACAACAGTTTTCTTGCTTGCACATTTCGCTCAAATGGCCTGTTTCTACCCATACTCTTTAGAACGGAGTTAATATTGAAGCTTTCAACAGTGCTAGTGGTCCTTTTGCCACCTTTCATCCTGGCATACTTTATGGTCACAGACTGGCTTCATACTCAGTTCCTTTGGTGAACCAACCCTAGAGGTTGATAAAGAAACTTCCCTGTGGCTTGGAGTCTTTAGTACCCCCAGACTTCACACATCAGTTGAGATGTGTGATGATAGGTTCTGCAACCACTGCACAGAAAAAGTGAGGGTCTTGCATCTTGCACATAAGAGCTTCTCTTGCCATGAATGACTAGAACTTTATGATACTCCTTGAAGGGAGCCAGTGACTAGTTAGCGTCTGTGTGCTGCTCAAGGAGCCAAGTCCATGGGCTCAGTCTCTGTATAAGGCAGCTGGCTGTAATACTGACAAGTGTGTACCCTCTGGCCCTAACCAGATTTTTGTAAACATATGTCACAGGGATCTGGCAAGAAAATCTACATTCCCAAGGACATACTCAGCATAACTATAGAAAATAGCCCGAAGTAGGGAACCACTAATGGCCAGCAGAGGCATGTTTGTATATGAAAAGAGAACATATTATGTCATGTCAAATCCTCCATTAGCAATGAAAATTTAGTTTGGTTTACTACTTTTTGAAGAGATCTCCAATTAAATGTATGTTGATTGAATATATGAATATATGAATGAATAAAGGAAAATTAAGTTTGGGGAAATGAGAAGAGATTAAGGGATGAAACTTTTATAGAATTAATTCAGCAGATATTTTATTGAATACCCGTTATGTGCCTACCACAACAGACATAGCTCCCACCCTCATGGCACTTGGAGTCTGTTGGGGGAGAATGACATTGTGTCAGTCTTGACAGACTAGGTTGTACTGTGGTAACAAATTTCATAAAATATTGTGGTAACAAATTTCACAACAAAGGTTTACCACTTCTTTACACTGGATGTCCCTTATGGGTTGGCGGGGTGGGGGGAGGGGGTTCTATTCATTGTAGTCACTGAGGACTCTATGGAATGCTGCCAGTCACCATGCCAGAAGGAAAAGATAATGCAGAGAAGCATGCACTTGCTCTTAAACCTTCTGGCAAGAAGTGACACAGCTACTGATGCTCACATTCCATTGGTGAAAGCAAGAACAGAGACCTACCTAATTACAAGTGGGGAGGGAAGTACAATCCTACCATGTGCCTGGAAGGAGAGAGAGCCAGAATGTATGTGGGCACTAAGGGCTACCACAGGGAAGAACCAAATAGTAACACCAACAAATGCCAACTGCAACAGTAACAAGTCCTATGAAGGGAAGGAAGAAGACACCAAGCTATGACTATGTGTGCCAATAATGGGGGATCTGATCTAGTCAGAGGTGAGAAAATCATCCCTCCACCCTGTTCCAGGAAGGGGCACTGAGGCCTGAAGGATTAGTAGGAGTTAACATGGAACAAGGAAGGAAAAGCATTTAAGACAGGCAGAAGGACCAGTGAAGGTCCTGTGATGGAGTTGGGGGTGTTGGAGGTTGGCAGTGATTAAGAGGCCCACGTAGGGAGAGTGAGGGACTAGATGAGCCTTGTAGGCTATCTCTTTTTTATGAGAGATTTAAAGCAAGGCATGACATAATCAGATTTTTTTTTTTAATAGATCCCTTTGACTAGTTGGTGGGAAGATAGGGACAGACCATGTAGATGTGATTGTAATGTCAAGGACAGAGACAGTGGTACTATGGACTAGGATGGCGGTAGCCAGGACAGAGTACCCCAGTGAGCCCAAGTGTTAATTCATACTCGCCAACTCATACTCATTGTTTAAGATAAATGTTCAGGGAGGGGCGTCTGGGTGTCTCAGTCGTTAAGCGTCTGCCTTCGGCTCAGGTCATGATCCCAGAGTTCTGGGATTGAGCCCCGCATCGGGCTCCCTGCTCAGCGGGAAGCCTGCTTCTCCCTCTCCCACTTCCCCTGCTTGTGTTCCCTCTCTTGCTGTGTCTCTCTCTGTCAA